GGCTCCACCCACAATGAGCCGTGGACCTTGGGCAGGGAAATGAGGCTCCACCCACAATGAGCCGTGGACCTTGGGCAGGGAAATGAGGCTGCCAGGGAAGAAGCGACGAAGGAGGGAGTGAAGGCAGGCAGGAAAGGTGGGAGCTCTCCAAGCAGGGGCAACCAGAAAGGGACTCTGTCCCAGCTGCTGCGACTTCCACTGCTCCTGGAAGCCATGGATGGCAAAGCCATCACTATCTGCTCCCCACAGGACCAGGCAGGGCCACAGCAATGACAATCCTGCCACCTAAAGCAAAGCCCAGGGGCTTTACCCTGGAATAAAGCTCCGACTGTGAGTTACCTCACTCACTGGCTGTAACTAGTACTAAAGGGAGCCACGAGCTCCTTCCACCTGGGAGTGCAGGCTGCTCCCTGGGCCCATGGGCACAGCCCCCGCAGCTCCTGGGAAGCTGGTGCTCCACTGCTGTTTGTCGCGGCTGCTCAGACCTGTCGGAGTCTGCCGATGGAACTGAAGCGCCCAGGGCGGGGTCGGCAGGGGTCATGAGACGAGGCACAAGCCAGGCCAGTATGCCTGCCCCCGACCCAGGCCCTTCAGGTCCCACCAGACACAAGCATTGCCCTTGGTCTGGGGTCAAGTGCTCAGACCCACAGCCCCGTGCCACCACTCACCTGCCGGTAACTGGAATTCCGTGGGCCTCGGCTTCCTCATCTGTGAAAGGGAGTCCTGGTATCTGACCCACAGGTTCTCACGCGTTTATTAGAAATAAGGTCACCCGGCGTGGTGGCTCACACTTGTAATCCCAGCACTTTGGGAGTCCGAGGCAGGTGGATCACCTGAGATCAGGAGTTCGAGACCAGCCTGGCCAACATGGTGAAACCCCATCTCTACTAAAAATACAAAATTAGCCCAGTGTGGTGGCTCACACCTATAATCCCAGCTACTCAGGAGGCTGAGGCAGGAGAACTGCTTGAACCCAAGAGTGAAAGGTTGCAGTGAGCCGAGGTCTCGCCATTGCACTCCAGCCTGGGTGACAAGAGCAAAACTCTGTCCCAAAACAATAAAATAAAAAAGGTCACTTAGGACAGCATTCAACGGACTTCTCGGGCACAGATGGCTCACCAAAGCCCCTCACCCAAGCCCGCAGTCCCTGACCTCCAGCTGACCACTCCTAAAAATCCCAGGGGCCAGGGGCTGAAGCCCTGGGGTGCACCAGCCCAGAGCAGCGGGCCTTGGGGAGCAGACCATCTCGGTAAGAAAGCCACAGATAATATGGCTCCATCCACACTCACGGACAAGAAGAGGGAGAACAAATACACAAGCGTTTTCTGAGTGTTTTTATCGTTTTTTTTGGTTTCATTTTGTTTTGAACACTAAGATTTATTTTCAAACAGCACACAGACCATCTGCGG